TTTGAGAGATAAACTCACTGCTGATCCATATACCATACAACCTTAATCCACTGCATAAGGCCTTCAAAGACGTTTTATCTGAACTATTTTCTTCCAAGCTTCTTTTACTCCTTTGACTCCACAACAAACTTCCCTCACCTCGCCTGTTCTCTCCCTTCCCTCGTCTTTCTCTCCTACTAGAGACTGTGGTCCAGTCATCTAAATTCATATCATCACCCATCCTTATCCAGTCAGAAACCAGTTTATGCCAACTGCCAAATCGTAAATCCAAAAATCTTTTTCAAAGCCAATGTATCAAAATTGTTTCCAATCCGACTGTTCGACAACACACAACTTCCTCTTCTTTCCGTGCCTTCTGCCATGGGCCTAGGGTGCAATCAGATAGGCAAAAAAGTCTCCTTTCCAAACCACAATTCCTTGACCCCAATGGAAAACGTCACTAGGTCAAAGTAAGATGTGAAGAAGAAGCTGTAAGGAGTTAGGAAAGGAGAACCAAAGGTCCTCAGTGATGTGACCCCAAGGAACCTGAAGCTACTGACACACTCAGTCAGCATCCCCTATATGGATGGGGTGCTGTCCACTTTCCTGCAGTCTTATGAGAGAGAGGTTGTTTGCCTTGCACCATCTCGTCAGTGATGCCCAGCTGAGTGTGCCTGATTCCATCTGCAGGTGGATCACAGACTTCCTGTCTGATAGGAGGCAGCGCGTGAAGCTGGGAAACATGTCTCTGACCCCCAGACCATCAACACCAGATCCCACCAAGGCTGCGTTCTTTCTTCTTTGCTCTTCTCCCTGCACACAAACAGTTACACCAGTCCGTCAAATTACCGAAGTTTGCAGACAATACCATCATCACCTCATTTGACTCATCTCTGGTGGGGACGAGTCTGCTTACAGATGGGAGATCAACCACCTGGTGACCTGGTGCAGTGACAACAACTTGGAGTGCAACCTGCCCTCTCTCCAGGACCTGTATGTCACCAGTCTCTTCCCTCTGGCAGGACTAAAACCTCATGCCACAGTACAGTTTAATCACTGTACATTTTGCACAACTCCTCCAGTTTTTTCTTTATTTTGTATTATTTTATCTTTATCTTTGTTTACCTGCCTTTGGTGTGTCCTCATTGCAAATTTATGAGATTTACACCAGTGTTTCCCCAGTTCCTGTTATTATTATTTTGCTGTAATTATGGGTGGGGTGTGTGATATTGTTTTTAATACTTTCATTCTATAAAGAACTGAATGTTTTATTATTTGCATAAAATGTGCTGTACAAATAAAGTCTTAATTAGTGTGTGCACAGTAGAGGAATTATAACATTGTCATTGTGCTGCTGCACTGTTCAAAATTGGCTTTAGAGGCATTGGGTATGACACCCTCAAACATGTCATGTGACATCACAATAGCCTTCACAATACACATCTAGCTGCTAGTTTGTCACACCCCCTAAACTTCACCTAAGCCAGGTAAAGTAAAAGCGGATACCAATATTTCCTAGACACGCTGGAAGCAGTCAACCAATAACACAAGAGAGGGCAAGCTGGCCAATTAACACAGACTACGTTTTATAGGGAGGGCGCCTTAAAAGACAGGAGATAACACCAAGTGTCTCAGACAGAGGCTGAAAAGAAAAGCTGCAGCAATGGACAGTGGTCTCTTTTTGAACATTAGAGCATATCAAATTACATTCTTACCCTGAATACAAAGTTTTCTATAGTTGTCTGTTGCACATATCTATTTTTTGGCTGTGCAAAACATCAAAACCTACTGACATGTTCACAGGAAGGCAAGTACTTAATGCAGATTTTTTTTACCCAAAAAATAATGATTACTTACACTGCAATTGACTAAAAAAGTCAATGCAAGGATCTGCTCTGATAACATAACTTGGTCTTTTAGTAAGATCTATACAGAGGGTGGCAAAATACAACAGAGAGAAAGAATTTGATTATGTAATAAAATTACATGAAAAAGCTAAATAGACCACATTGAACACTGATTTTGTAGTTTGTCAGTTGTTTACAGTCAACACTGTAAAGCTGTTTTCAGAAAGAATTGGCTACATAGTTTACACGCAGTTTGTCTTTCACCAAATACAATGCGGCAGGAGCTTCTCTGCACATCTCTTACATTTTTGTGTCTGTCGCTTGTTAGAAGAACAAACCCCCCTCCCGCTCACTCGTGGTGAATCCAGCGGGGGAACCTTATGGACGTTTTACTAGAGGGCCAGGCGGAGCGTCTCAGTCTGACTTTTTTGCGTTCAAAGATGTACCTCCTCCATAGAAAATAAGAAGGAACTGCAGAGTTCCATGCATGTTTGAAAGCAGTTTAAGAGTGTGTCAGTGTAATGAATGCGATGTGTTTCCCACAGGGAGCAGTTCTCCTCTCAGGTTGATCAGCTGAAGTCCAGGCTGGCAGAAAATCAGCAGAGCCTCCAGAGCAGCACAGCAGAGCTGCAGCAGCTCCAGACTGAACACGACACTCTTCTTGAGAGACACAATAAAATCCTTCAGGAAACTGTGAGCAAGGAGGCAGAACTCCGCGAGAGGTGAGCTTGACTTGAACTTGTCTGGAATTTTTACTATGTTGCTGTTCATATATCCCTGTTTTTGTTTGTGTGTTCTTCATTCTGACTCCTTAGATGTGATATTCAATCATTAGACATAGGCATACATTCTGTCTTCACACCTGATGAGGCCTGACAAACAGCCGTCACTCATCGGTCCTTTCCTGTTTTACGCCAGTCCTGCTTATTCTCCACTAACCTACACGTCTTCCTTCAATTCCCCCTTGCTCTGTCTCCACCTCCAGGCTGCTGTCAGTGCAGTCGGAGAACATGTCACTGCGCTCAGACCTGTCCCAGGCTCAGAGTGACCTGTTGTCTCAGGTGGAGGCCCAGCGGCAGACGTACAGGGAGCAGCTGAGGAGGCTGCAGGATGACCACCGAGCCACTGTAGAGACACTGCAAAGCCAGCTGACCCGTGTTGAGGAGCAGCTCTTCACACTGCAGAGCCAGAACAGTAAGCATCCATGCAAATTACAAACTTGTAATTTTGTTCTATTTAAATGTATCAGTAGCTGAAGAGAGTAGTTGAAAAGGGTAAATATATTACCAAACATAAGAATCAAAAAGTAACTGCAGCTCAAACATAGAGAAGAAGGAGTGAATGAGTGGTATCGTATTGGTCTCTTCTATGAGGAGAACATAGGACGGATGGGTGTCTTGGTCTTTCAATGGAGCAATGCTGGAAACACATTTGTCACCTCCCACACAGCTGCCCTCTGGAGTCAAACAGCAAATACACGTAGTAATGACTAGAAAAGGTGTGTGTGTGTGTGTGTGTGTGTGTGTGTGTTTCCTCTGTCACATCAGTGTGGCCAGGTGTTGCTGAGGCTTCTCAGCTCTGTTCCCGCCTCTCAGTGTGGCAAACCACTCACTGTGGCATCTGGAGAGACTCATCATTAGTGGCTCACAGATGCAAGCCAGTATTCGTGTGATACACTGTATAAAGATCCAATATCAGCCACAACTGAAGGTCACATATTAGCTTTTTTACCACTTTATTGGGATTGAAATAGCAGTTACAATGTGTAAGGTTCACATCTGTGTGTTTTTCTGGGGCTATTGAAGTTTTTACTGTTCTTCACCTGAAACTGCTTTTAACTTAGAATGAGCCATTTGCATCCTCATTGGGAGCGGGTCCTTTCCCACAGAGTCCGCTATGTTCTCGGTTCAATTCCAGGTTCATTAATCACCATCTTCTCTTTTGTGCACCCACTCTCTCAATCGCCCCATCCGTCCCTCTCCCTTTCTCTTCCCACTTGTCATTGTTTATGCCAACTCTGGTTTAAACAGGAATGTGTCTGGTGCCCCCTCATGTCACAAAGCAGTAGGACAATGTCTCACACATTAATGTGAATCTAAGTGGAAATGATAGAAAAAGGTTTTACATACTATGGAGGCTCTTTGAGATAATATCTATGATCTAAGCTGTTTTGAATAAATATATATATATTTTAATTTTCTGTTGTTTGTTAACCTCATCCTCTTCTTTTTATCGCATATGTATGAATCTGATTTGTTCTACAAACCTCACCCACCTCCCCCTCTTTCTGGTGCAGTGTCGGTCCAGTCCAGTCGTAAGTCTCTGGCCTCAGACCCTCAACGCAGAAACACAGATCAAAACCATGTAGGGCTGGTGGCTCTAAGCGACCTTCAGTCTACGGCCAGGGAAGAGGGCGAGGGTATGGAGATGACTGAAAGTGAGAGCCCTTCTCCTGCACTTACACCCCTCCCCTCTCTGGAGCAGCTCCTCATGTCTCCGGATCCCAAACAAGGTGATGAGATGCGCCTTAATATTTACTCCGTATATAAATAGATGTCTGTCTCACAAGTTCCAGATTCATTCTGTGTCCCAAACCTGGCAAATTAGAAACAACAGTCATCCTGTTTGTGTCAAGAAATGCAAATTCAGAAAGAGGTTCTACTTCACTATACACTGGAGGAAGTGATATTCATCAACTTGATTTGTGTGATCATCCACACTACATAAGAATTAAGACATTACTACATGAGCTACATACTTAGCTTCTACGCCCGCAAACTCTTCATACCACGATCTTAACCTGTGTGTGTATTTGTTTTCATCTCTAGAGCCATTTGTGTGGACAGTGGACCCTACCAAAGAAGAGCTAAGTCAAAAGCTGACCACAGCCACACGCAGCATGGAGCATATGAACAGCCTGCTGCATGAAACCGAGGCCACCAACGCTGCACTGATGGAGCAGATCACTGTATGTACACACACAGACACACACACAGGAAGCACAAAAACAATCAGTCTACTCTTGCAACAGTTTGTTCAAACAGTTAATTTAACTGGATTTAATTTGCAATTACACACACTGCTCATTTTAAGTATTTTTAAAGATGAAATACCTTTCAGACTTTTCATAAATTCTTTTCATGAATATACTATTTGAAAATCCATGTGTCCATATTGACTGTGACTGGGTTGACTAACAATTATTTTAATTCTGTCTTTACTTTAATATCACATGAGAGCAGAAATCCACCAAGTCCTTACAATAGGGAAACTGGAATGTTTGATTTAACTGCTTGAAGAATGATTAAATAACTTATTTCATTGATCAATTATGCAATGTGTTGCCTCAGCTCTAAAGAGTGTTAATAGATAACTCAAGTCATAGTAGAGATGAATAAACTTGTAGTCTTGCACATTTTATTCATTTTCATGCTGAGAAACAATCAAACAGAAGCTGGGATACCATAGTTGTGTCAAATTAGATTTGTTGATCAGTCTTCCATTGGTTTTTTATTTTTGGGTGCCCAACACCAAATTAAACATGCCGGAATGCCCCGACAGTGATATCAAACAGCCTAGCGTTGTTCAGGGTCCCCTCTTTGTCCAGGAGGAAGTAGAGCTTGTGTCCTTTGAGCCTGAGGGGGATAAATGAGGGGGACTGCTGCCTGTGAGTGTGACAGGCCACCTCGGACAGTGGGACAGTTGTTCTCCAGCCTTGACTTGCACCTAAAGGTGACTGCGTACAGACTGTCACCATCCTCCCGCCTTGATGTAAGACCACCTTGCTCACAGAGCGACGGCAAAACAAAGCCCCGAGCCCGACGATCCCTGCACCGATTGCCAGACATCCCAGCGTGAAGCCGTACCTCCAGGTGTTTGACCCCAGGTTCATCTCAAAACTCCACATCCCAGCCAGCCCGGTGGTGGTGGTGGGCGCCTTGGCTTTCCCTTTCTCTGCAGTGCCCCCTGTGTTCCTGAGCCCAGTGTAGGCTAAATGAGCCAGGCAGGTCCAGAAAATAAACTGACCCCCGCAGAAGATGGAGAGGAGCCGGAAGAAGCGGGTCCGGTCATGCTGGAACAGGATGACGTCTTTGGAGGGCTGGGTGGAGGTGGAGAGGCTGCGGCGGGCTGTCAGCTGCCTGTGAGCGGCGTGGCGGCTCGACTGGACCGATGTCCCCCTGGGCAGGCCCGGTATACATGAGACCCGGGGAGACAGGCCGCTGCTCGGGGAAGGCTGAGCCGAAATGGACGCGTTTCTACAGGCTGACACTGTGTGCCGGATGTTAACGAGTCGGAGCTGCCTGGAGTAAAACTCCAACACTCCACACAGACGCTCTAGACCCATCTCTCCCGATATGTTTTAACTTGACACTCAGATAACTCACAAGCAGTGAACGTTCACCGTTTATCGTTGTCATTGAGATCTTTTTAATGCGTCTGTTCCAACACACCGCGCAGCTCTGTCCTAGAGAGCGCCGCCATGTTTGTTATGCGTGACGTATGATGTCACACTACGGTAAGTAGAGGAGGTCAAAATTACTCATCCCTGTAGAAAGGAGCAACGCGATAACTTTATTTCAAACAAACGCTTCACACTGATTTTATGACTATTCACGAATATGTTTTCATTCTATTAAACATTATAAGTGCTTTATAAAAATCTTATGTCTAGAACCTTTCAAAACACAGTATCTGTGTTTTACAAGTTAAAAATGAAGGATTCAATGCAAACAAATGGAAACAGCAGTCAACAACACAGCATTAGACAAAATGACAGCAACAAATCTAGCACATGAGAAGACATTACAAATAAAATGATACATTTTTATTAAAAATAACAGATAAGATCAAAGCTGTGATTAAAAATAAATGAAAATAAAATGTTTAAGATAAATTTAGACCCCTGAAATCCTGAGAAAAAAGACTTTAAGACGGATTTAAAGTAGGATAAGGAGTCGCCAGAAGGATCAAAGTTGGGGCCCTGACAATAAATGTATTGTTCCATATTTTAAAAAACGAATTATAATATCACCTTTTACTTGACTTGTCCTGATGAAATGTAGATATTTTTTTTTTCCATAAAAAAGGCACATGCTTGTTTTGCACAAGCACATACATATCCTTAATGATGAGTGAGGACCATTCTTTCCATGCTAGTAAGAGAGATGCAGGTTTGGGGATTTTGTTCTAATTCATTTTGCCGGTATTTTTCACCTGCTAGTTGTTGAAAAGTGAAGTGCGTCGTCTAGAACGTAACCAGGAGAGGGAGAAGAGTGTGGCCAACCTGGAGTATCTGAAGAATGTCCTGCTGCAATTCATCTTCCTGCGATCTGGCAGTGAGAGGCAGGCACTGCTGCCCGTTATTCATACCATGCTGCAGCTCAGTCCAGAGGAGAAAAGCAAACTGGCTGCCATTGCACAAGGTACAGTATGTACAATATGAAAGTTAGAATTTAATTGGAACATACTCATAGATTAATATGTTAAGTACACACATAAAATACATCAATATTTGCATTACATTTATAGACGCATACATCATCTTCTTGTCAATTAAAACAACTTCCTGTTTGTTAATGTTCATCTCCAGAGGTTTAAGTACCATAGTATTGAGCTTTCAGAATTTCTCACCTGATGTTCTCTGCTGTCTTTTGTGAAGGTGAGGAGGAAGGGTCTGGTGCTCGGGGCTCGGGCTGGACCTCCTATCTCCACAGCTGGTCTGGAATCAGATAGACCAGAATCCAAACCAGGTCAACAATGGGAACATTTGGAGCACAGTGCTGATGTTACTGGAACTTTTTCTGTGAAAACCTAAACTCTGCATTCAAAACGGTGGCAAATCAGTGGTTTGATTACTGGGGCATTTAATAATGTTTGGGGACACAATAGAATGGACCAAAGAATGTAGATGAGATTTAACCAAAACATTTAGATGAAGATTTAATAAGCAGTGCAATACATACACCAATCTCTTGTCAATTAATGTTAACTGGGACATGATTTTGTCTTCCATGATTATTGACTTATATTTATAACATTTACTGAACATGGTTACACTTCCTTGAAGTGGAGCTCATAAGGGATTAAAAGGCATCATTATCACAACGACAATATTGTGAATGGGTTTATGTTTATGATGAGCAGCATTGTTTAATACATATGGATGTGCACAGAGGATTTAATCAAGGGGGTGACTGTGAAGTTAATGTCCTAACATCAATATTATACTCAGATGTTTTATTACTTTGCAACAAAGAATTCCATCTAATGGGCAACACATTTTATTTGAAGGACTTCTAGTGTTATAGCTCTTTTGGGGACAAATAACACACATTTCTTTCAGCTGTTTTTAATGACCCTACCTTTACAGGTTGCCATTTTGAAATTATTTCCACTTTTAGTTGTCGTGTGGAAGGGAAAAAAAACCTTTACTGTTCTGTGCTTTGGAAAAAGTCTTAATTATGTGATTTCAGTTCATGAGCTTAAGCATAAATCCATCATAAAATCACTTCATATACAAAGAGGTACATATCTATCTTTATCAGGTTCACCTGGCCGACATGACTTAGCAATAGCATATTTGCACTTTTTCCGACTGAGTGTGCAGTTAATCAGTTCACTAAAGCCTGAAGTCTGAAGCAGTTTAACCTTTCTTTCATTCAACTGCAGTTAATTATATCCAATAGTGATGGTTTGGAATTTTGTTTTGGTTTCTATGTAATTTGTTGTTTGTGGTTGTTAATTAATACCAAACTATTATTTTCATGTGTTCTGTTTTCCATTTTGGGATCCATTTATGGTTTTGTCGGTTGTTGTGCTGCTGTTAAACCTCCAAACTTGAGAGATTGCATCTGAAGTCGGCTGTTTTTGTCAGTCCCTGTGACGTCAAGCACATCCACCCTGCTAAAGTGTCCATGAGCAAGACTCCCAACAAGACTCATGGGTGCTACTATTTACAGTGTCTCATCAAGACTTCCGAACCTCCTGTTGGGATGTTGGAGTGGGACACAACTCCACACAGAGGTCCCACTTCCCCTAAAACACACATCCAAACATGTCTGTTCATCATGTTTCCATTACACAAATACTGAAGTCTTATCATTGATAAAGATAACTGAACTGTTCACATTCAACTGGCAGCTTTTTTTGTGATTCTTTCAGTGTGAGTGAATGTTTTTATCCCAGGCTTTTATATTTATGAGGGTTAATGTCAGCAGGAGCTATGAGAGAAACGTACCTATAAAATATCTGTATAAGGGTGAATAAAATTTTACTGTATATTAACTGGATTGCTACTGTGTTGAAATCTTAATTTACATAAGACAACAGCTGGTTTCAAAGCCAGTTCTGTTGTTTTCTGGTTTATTTCTAACTGGAAACAAATAAAATCAGCATGAATGAGAGTTTTACAATGACTCTTTTTGGCTTATTTTCTTTAAAGATTGCTGGACATTTTAATTGTTTTAATTACTCTTGTCATTTCATCTTGTTAAGCACTTCAGTCTCAGTCTTTGTAATCAGATGCATTAGTCTTTATTTCTTACTAGGAATTTCTCTTGTTACTATTACAGTCTGATCTGTCCTGGAGGAGAGAAGGGGGAGTCAGGCCTTTTCCTTTTAAGGAAATAAATGTAGTTTCGGGATCATGACGCAGCCAGCGGAGGAAACAACAAATAATACCTCTCATATCTGCCACTGGAGGAATAAAGGTAAACATATTATTATGCTAATACCTCCCTGAGGAGCAGCACTGTCATCAGGATTATATATTTTCTTTGCAGTTAATTTTATCATCTATTATTATCCTCTTATTTTCTTCCACTGAAGTAAAACTGACACATTCTTTCCATTTGGTGTCTGAAAAACCTGTGGATGTTTTTTTTTTCCTTTTTTTTTTAAATCTCACCATTGGTCTGGGACTTTATGGCTCCCATCCGCCATGTTGAACTTCTAGTTTCCAAAATGAAAACTTTCCATAAGATTCCCACTGTATGGACATGACACAAGAATACAGACGAGATCAGCAGCAGAGGCGTCAGTCACATTACACATGTTGACACTTTGGGCTGAGTGTGTTCGCAGGGCGGCTCTACAGTTTGTGGTCTGGATTCAGATTGTGCAGCGGTGGAGGCTCCCACACTGAGACATGAGAAGCTGCAGGAGAGACACAACAAAACAGTCTACAGTTCCTTTAGTTTTCAGAATAAAACCACAGATGTGTCCCCCTGGAATGAGGTCATTGTATGAATGACAAAAAAAGAGAAGTGAATAAATAAACAAATACATAAGAAAATAAAGTAAATGTAGAAATACAGATATGCATAGATAAAGGTAGAAATGTATAAGTAAATGAATGAATAAAAATGGAAATGAACATATAAGTAAATTAATGAATAACGTAGAAATAGCGTTTGCAAATTTGCAAACTACTTTACTATTTGTATACTACTTATGTTGTTATCTACACACTTTGTATATACAGTCTATGGCTACACACCACTGTGTCGATGGAGGGGTGGGTGAAGTGTTCACAACAAGACACTTTTAGTTTCAGGGATAAACTGTGTTGCAGCCGGATCAAATAAGTAAAAGTAAGTAAGTAAGTAAACCTTTATTATACATATATTTTATATTATATTTGGACCAATTTTATGTCCATGCGTTTTTAGTTTACTCTGCAATGCATTTGCTGGTTGACAGTGGTTTTATTCTGAAAGTGAGCAGCGGAAGTGAAGTCTTCCATTGAGGGACAGAGGCGCGGCCCGTCTTCGCCATTCTGCCCCGCGGTGTGTCACCCAACCCCCGCTAACGTGACGGAACATCCCCGGTGAGGCACATCTGGAGGAGCAGCGGCTGCGGACTGAAAAACAGCAGCGGGACGATGCTGGGTCTCAGCGAGATGACGAACGGGTGAGTGAGACGGGTTGAAAAGACAGAGGTTCAAGTGAAAAGTTTTGAAGTTGACATTTTGACGCTGGGAAAAAAAGGGAAAAAAATAAAGAAACGTAGTCCCGGTGGGTTAGTTCCGTTCTCCCGCGCTGGAAACACGCTAACCCCGGTCCCCGCGCTCATGGTGACGTCATTACACTGACGCTGGACTTGTTTTGCTTTTGAAAAGTAGATCATTATCTTTTAAACACGCAAACTTCACGCGTTCATTTCTCTGCGGAGCCGCAATCTCAATTTGATCACTTCAGCTACTCGCCAGCGCCCTCTACTGTCACCTGGGGGGGGAAGCTTCCAGCAGACAAACCCCTGGACACAACTGTTGAGCTCAGATCAAACAATGGAATTAACTAGCGTCGTACAGAAAGGGATGTGGAAGTGAAGTCAAAGCCGCCATGTTGGTATGGGTCATGTTGATTGATTGTTTTTTTAAATTTATCAATTAGCAGACAATAAGACAAAATGATCCACAGGATGTTAAAGTGAAGAAACACTTATTTCCAACATGGTCCCAAGATGTCCGGACAAAAGTAAACGTAAAAAAGACACAGAGACATTTAACAAGAACT